CCTCTTCCTCCTTACCAACAGTTTGCATAGATCTTTATGGAGGTTTTTCCCGAGGAAAATAGAAACATTCATACTCTAAAACTTTTACATTTTAAGAAAATGGGCCCTAATTGTCCTGTAGATTACTTTTTTCACCTAACAACCCACAATAAATGTCCTTGCATGGCAGTACCTCTAGTGTGGGGACCATAGATTTTTCAAGCCTTTCTGTCAATCAATTCAGTTACACGGGTTTTCTGTGTCTAGCATTTTTTTTCAGAGTTTTTTAGTCTGTTGTCAGTACCCTTTCTTGATTTGTATCATAATTTTTTGACATGTATTTTTTTCTCTGCAGATCTGTGTTGAGCTACATGAATGTGTTTAATCTACCTTCTTTAAATGGAAGCCAGTTTTAAATTTTTACTGGTTTGAATTATCTTCATTGATTATTTGAAAATATTAAAAGATAGCATATCTCCACCACATGTGATGAAAATTTGTATCATAGTCCAAAAATCTTTGAGTTTTTCCTTGGGTATTACTTGGTATTGTTAAATTAAATGCTTTCACTTCAATTAAATAATTAAATAATAATTAAATAATCTTGCCCCAAAACCTTAAAAAATTAGAATGGATCTAAGGAAAATCTAGCAAAAAACCAATGAAAATAAATTGTTATTTCATAATCTAGGATTCTGGGGTCTTTTAGTGGATTGGCCAAGCATGTTGTGAATTATTTTGAATGTGGTAGTGAAATGCAAAAGAAAGGGCACTGGGCTTGGAATCAGGAGACCCAAGTTGGAATCCTGACTCTTTCCAGCTTAGAACAAAGAGAAGTGAAGTTTTCAGCAACCAATGAATCATCTTAAGATTGCAAAGCTCTCCCCCTACCTCTTAATGCTGTTTTGAGAATCCCATGGGACTTCATAATACAATTTTCAACACACAGTAAAGGTTTATTCTTATTGCATTTGCCCGTATCATCTGGAAACACATACAGTGAAGGATAATGCTACTTTTAGGAAAAATGGATGGAATCGATGTAACATACTTTCTGTAAAAGATCTGTGCCTCTTACCCAGCAGGTTGATGTAATAACTGAAAGTGAACTTCTCTTCTCTGCTTCTACCCCAAAATAATAAAAAGGCAGCCTTTACCCAAAAATGCTTGATAAACTTAATTAACACCCGCTGTGCTGTTGAGTCACAGAGCCAACCGGAAGGGGGACTGTAAGTCCAACATAAATGCTTTATGTGAGTTTCCTCTTATTTTCAGTGTTCTTAAATGAAGCAGGGTTCAACTTTGTGAGAAAATGCATTCAAGCTGTGGAAACAAGAGGTAAGTGTTGCCTGATAGGTACAGCGTTTCTGACGCATGTCTCATTCTTACGTAGACGTCTCTCAGAGTAGAAAGTGAAGATGTTTTTAGTCATTAACATGAGAGTAATTTTAAGAGTGAT